CTCTTCTTCGCCTTCCTTGCTCATAAACAACGTGAACTTAGTTAAACACGGCTGTATTAATATATTAATGTCAGCATCAGAATGATGGCATTAAGCAGCCTAAAAATACTTAAGGATACTTTATGAAATGCAGTTCCCATGTAGAAAAAATTTTACACATTTCAGACATTTCTAGGATAAATTTTTTTTATCTACATATATGACAGCCGTGCTATATACAAAAAAAAATAAACTTGTAACTTGTATAGTTTCACAACTTGAGCAATAAAACCACAGAACAATATGACATCTTAATTCAATTATAATTTCAATGAATTGGACTATATCCAATCTAACTTATCTAAAACATCACAACAAAACTCTAGTGCCATATCCGAATTACATTTTGATTTCTAATCATAGAGACACTTATTTCTGCCTTGACATATTTAAATGACAGTAAAAGTTTACCAAAAGATACCTTCTAGTAATAAAAAAAAATACAATTAAAGCCGCCTCCATATCCTTAGAAATGTATTTAACGAACAAAATAAAATCTGTCTCTATGGACTTCACAAAAGTTATTGAACATGCTTTATTTGACCTAAAGTGATATATTAAAGAAGTGTCAAAGTATATATATATATATAAAAAAAAAAACTATGCTATTTCTGTAACAGAAAATCAATCTGCAGATTTAAGGACAGTTTTCCTCCCATATTATTCATCTATCAGTCCTAAATTTGACCGATTTAAGGATTTTGTTAATTTGATATTTGCCTTTAGAATAAAATAAACACCAACAATTTCCTATTTTTGACACGATCTGTTTAACTGTATATACTCCTGCACATTTTCGAGAATACGGTTAGTTTTCCTTCTAGTAGTTTTATCTAACTTTAATGCGTACCACCCTTCATCCAGTTTTTTTATGCTTTGATAAGCAGAACTTTCAGCTGTTCTGGTGTATTAATCAAACTTATTAGTTTTTAGTTTCTTGTCTGGGTATCTTGAATCTTCTCTTTTTTTATTTCTCCTTGTGAGATCAAGATGCTCTCTAATCTATACTCCTGTAATCTTCAGTTTTTTTGCCTATTTTAGAAATTCTATTTTATGTTTACACTTCACCTATTGAATGATAATATTTGGACTATTGTTAGACTTCTGAGGTAAGAGTAGGGATGGGGAATCTAAAACCGGTTCCTGTTCAGAACCTGTTCAGTGTGTTCCAATTCCATGGCACCGTTTGGCACCGTTTGGCAGCTTAGCGGTTCTCTTAACGGTTCCAGGCAGCACCAGAGTTCCTCTGGAATCGTGAAAATCTTATCAATTCCTAACCCTAGGTAAGAGTGGTAGGCAGATATACATGTATATCTTTTTTTCTGTAGAAAAATTGAATACTCTTCTTTTCAAGTGAATGCAGATTACCTCTTGTTGCATCTTCTCCTCGCTTGTCACTTGCTGTAATCTAGATATCACTAGGTCTTTTATATTGCTCCTAATCTTCCAATTTTTTTTTTCAAACCCCTTAACCTTCTTGTCCTTATCTTTGATCACAGCTTCTATTTACCTCACTTCTTTGATTAAATCCTACAGGTCTGTCTGTTACTTCACCACCTTATTTAGTTCCTCTGACATGAAGTTCAAATACTTTTTCACTTCATTCATATCTTTTACCAACTTCTTAGTTACCATTTTCTCAAATTTTTTGTTTTTTTTTAATTAAAGATAAAGATTTTGCTTACAAGATTGCAGATAATCTAGTATTACAGATGATTAAGCATACACCATAGAAAGTGTTCAAAACTTCACAAAGGATAGAAATATTCCCATTAGTTAAAGCTTCAGTTACCCAAAAGAGTAAAGAGCTAAATATAAACTTTGTGTGATCATAAGTTCATAATATTTGATGATATTCCAAATTTCTTTAGAGCTGATCATCATTGATCATCACCATGGATCGATTGTCTTTCATAGTGTAAACCCTTTTAATTCTGTAGCAAAGTATTTTTTTTATTTTTGTTAAATTGCTTGAGAAGCTTTATTTTTTAGCTTCATACCTAGGCAAAAGCATGCTATCAGTTGGCAAAAACAAAATGTTCTAAAACATCTTATTTGATTTGTTATTCTTTTTATTACAGACAAAAAATATAATCACATCTGCAAAATTATACTGCGACTTAGTTGTCCAGTCACTTATAAGAAAAATTGTGCAGATTAGTATAAAATGTTTTCATATTTGAAGTCCTTTAAATTAATTATCAAATTTATTACTCAATACCAAACATCTTTTATTTCATTACAGAACTTTTAGATGTAGTTACAATTCCAATAACAGGAAAATTATCTAAATTCTTCAATGTTTTATATCTTAAAAAAAGAAACTGCATTGTTTCTTTACCTAATGACTAATGACTTTGATTGTGCAGTACCTAATTCAGTTACTTTTTGGGATAAGTTTCTAGTAATTATAAGTATATTTTTTTTTTTTTTTTGAGTAATGTTCCTAACACCGCTAACACTCCATTGCCCAATTATGGTTGATGTTTGACATGGTTTGAACTTCCTCCTTCACTCTGTCCAGTTGGCTCCTGCTCCAGCGCTGTGCTCATAAACCCATTTGGTATGTGGAGTCATAGTTCAGGTGTTGTTTGAGCTCAGCTGTTCTCAACCATAAAAAAACAAACAAAACTTGCTTCTATGGTGACATAATAACAACTTTTCCAAAGTAAATGAAAAAAATAAAACCATCAGCACAAAAACCTATTCACAAGTGCAACATTCAACCAGGAAAAAAAAATCCAAGAAAAAGCAAAGACTCCAACCCACATATTTTTGTTTTCTGTTGTGTTGTTTTTCTGTTGTTTTATATGGGCTCCTTTAATGAGTTATAATAGATGTTAATGGCTCTAGTCAGGAAATGTATTGTGACGTAACACAGGCCTACATAATCGCCTGACTAAAATTGCTCAACATTCTTCAAGAGAGTTGACCTTTATGTTCTACATTTTATAAACAGTGATTTTTTCTTTGTGACATTAGTCTGTTCTGTCTGCAGTTGACATGTATGTCTTTTACCGGAATTCTGAGCTATACAGAGTAAAAAGGATTTGCGAGGACGGCAGCACAAAAATATGAAGTATTTATTTCAAAAGTGGGATGAATAAGCTTAGATTAGACATCTGGGGAAAGCTTGAAAAATTAGGACTTGGTCTGAAGTCCTAATTTCTCAACATGTATTTCAGATGAAGGGAAGCTAAAACGAATGAGGATGATGGGAGGAAGGGAGGGCTGCATGGTGGCAAAGTTTGTAGCATAGTTGCCTTGCAGCAATGAATGTGTGTGAATCCCGCCTCAGGATCTTTCTGTATAGAGTTTAAATGTTCCATGCATGTGTGGGTTATATTTATTTAATAATTTTCATTAATTCATTCTAATTTTAATGAAGATGCCAATTAAAAGGTGGGATTCAGACATATTTGTTGGGGTTCCAGTTTGTAGGGCTTGTTTTGTTCTCTTGCAGTTCCACTGTGCACCCACCAGATGGTGCCATTGTCCTCTGCTGCTCTGCAGGGCTTCTTGTTCTTCTCACATTACCCCAGGCTCACACCGACTCCGGTCTTACCGTTGCGGTGCGGTGGGTGCGGCGCCGCAGTGATTCCAAGTCATTAAAAAGACGTAAACCTCTCTCACCGGCTGCTGAGCTGTCCGGCTGCGGTTACCGAGACACTCCGGCGCTGCAGAAAATTCCGCAAGAAAGCTATCCTTGCGGCGTGCCGGAGCCCTCCGCAACAAGCTCTCGCAAAAATCCTTTATTTGGGCCGTGTTATCGCGTGAAGTTACGTGAACTCAAGTGAACTTCTGTTAAATCTCCGGACCTGTTGCCGGAGCCGCAGAGCCGCACCGCACCGTAGTCAAAAGGCCGGTGTGAGAGGGGGTGTGCGGGAGTTGCGGTCTCCGTCGGCTCGGTAACTGCACCGGAGCCAGTGTGAGCAAGGGGTCACACCTGCAGCCTATTGGGTCATCACTTCCTGAGGAGTATTTAAGGAACAGACTGTCTTCACTTCCTCACCAGAGTGTTTGCCAGTATTGGGTGCTCTAGCCCCTCAGAGTTTGCAGAGTCTACTTTGAGTCCCAGTTTCTTCTGAGCTTTCTCAGTGCTAACATAGTTTTTGTCTTTAATTCTCCAGTAGGATATCACTGATCCACTGGATAAGCCAGGCCCTTCAAGTCTTGGAAGGGACTCTCGTCACACTGAGAATAGGAGACAGATCTCCTCATCTGAACGCCGTGCACTTCAGGAACTTTGTGTCAGTCTGCTCAGCTGCTCCTCAGGATCACCATAGTCTGTCTGTCTGCCCTCCAATGAACTAAACCTTCAACAGATCAAGCCTCCACAAACGGGAACTCTGGAACCCTCCCAAACTACCACAGTGTTTTTCCTAGTCTCTGTACAGTAAACCTTTCAATAAACTGTTTAACTTTTTCCCGTCTCTGTGAGTTCTTCTGCAAGTTGGTTTAAAAACATTAGACCCATCATGACAGAATTTAGGGGTCAAATTGTGACCAGGGGTTTCCCTTGTGGTCCAACATAGCTGGGTTGCAAGTTTATCTGTCTAAAACAAAACCTGATGTCAAAATGCATTTGAAACGTAATTCAGTTTTCGAATAATAACAAATATTGTCCTAGGACAGTTTAAATAAAAAAAAAAAATCTAAATGTAACAACATACTGTATATACACATCACATAAAACATGTTTGTGTTATTCAATCTTAAATACCCATTACACTTTCTTTGCTATTCTGATTGTGTATTAACCTATAGTTGCCTTTCAGTTTTCCCACTTTACCGATATTTGTTTCCTCATTTTAAAAAGTTTTATAAATTTTGCCAGGGAAATGCTTTTTCAATAAAGTTTACAGCTTTGAAGGGACTTTGGACTACAAGCCAAACCCTGCCTACTCTCTGATAGTAAATATGTTTAAATAGCAGCACTTCATTCTTATCTTCACTTTGCCCAGAGGGACCTGCTTGCAACATGGGTGACTCCTTCATCATTGCCATAGACTTTGGCACTACTTATAGCGGGTATGCCTTTAGTATAACTGAACGAAATGAAAACATTGAGCCACGTTTGAAGTATTGGGGTGAAGAAGTTGGACTGGAAACCCCAAAGACTCCTACCTGCATCCTGTTTGATGAACAAGAAAACTTTATAAGCTTTGGTTATAAAGCTAAACAATCTTATGTCTTAAAGAAGAATAAAGAAGAGAGAAAGTTGTTGTTCTTTGATTGCTTCAAGATGTCCCTCTATGGCAAAGTGAGTAAACTTAACACATTGTTAAAAACTAATGCAATATACAGTTTTATTAACAGTTCCTGTCTAGGTACAACAATAACATAGGTGGTAATGTTCTCCAGAAACCTACCAAGGATCTGAAGATCACAGCAGCCAATGGAAAATCAATGAATGCACTAAAAGTTTTTACAGAAGCATTGAGATTCCTGAAGGATGATGCACTGAATTTCATCAATATAACCACAGCGAAAAAGTTTCTCTCCTCTGAATTTACCTGGGTGCTTACTGTTCCTGCCATCTGGGATCCTTCAGCCAAACAGTTCATGAGGGAAGCTGCAACTAAGGTTACTGTTAAAACTGATACAAAATTAAAAGCCTTAGCCCTACAACTTTTGTGTCTAATCATTAAGAAATTTGGTTTCCTTCTTGGTTTCAGGCTGGAATTGTAACCAAAGATACTGAGAATAAACTGGTCATTGCACTGGAACCAGAAGCTGCTTCACTCTGTTGTAAAAAGTTGCCAGCTGAAGGTTTCATTTCAGTAAACCAAAAGGAAAATCCAACATTTGCTGATTCTCCAGGAACTCGATACATTGTTGTTGACTGTGGAGGTATGATATTATGTTTTTTGAAATGTTAACCTTTAATTTATACATTTTATAGTCAGTAAATCAAAATTACTGCAAATTTTTTTTGGTGTGATTTGGCTATGAATTCAGTTTGAAGTGTTGTAAATAATCACATTTAAATCAATAATTTTCAGTGGCTAAACAACATAAAATTAGAAAACCACAAACCACTGCTAAATAGAAGTGCTGCAATAACAGTAAACAGAGAGAAGCAGCAATCAAACATGCTGCAAATTATAGGCATGCTGCAAATACTTAGAAAGCTTAAACAAAAACACAAAAGGGTAAAAAAAACATTAAGAATATATATATATGTGTATATATAGTCTTAATGTATTGAAAACCTCATGCCCTGTGCCCAGTAATTATCTATTTATTTATATTGTAGGTAATGTCTGATACTGTAAATTCCCTTGATTTCTCAGTGTCTCTGTATGTAGAAAATAAAATTAAAGCAACTTGGCTTTTGCACCAACAAATATTCTATGTAGCATTTTTGATTAAAATTATTCAGTTCTTCAGTCAAGTTATTCATGTTGGATAGACAGCAGCCTTAAGCTTTATTCAAGCAAGAGTAGCAATACTTTACAGTAATATTACTCAAGAAAAACTACCGTCTTGTGTCCTCAATAAAGTAATAATATTGATAACTCTGGTAAAACTGATAAAAACAAAATTTTCCCCAAAAGATTACTCAAATAAATGTAACTTATTTCTAGCCACATCTGTCAATAATAAATCACTAATTTGACCAATGTGTCACTAATATATCCTAATATTTAAAATAATAATGTATGGCAAATACAAAGGGACACAAAATCTGAATAGAATTAATCTTTATAATTGCAGTTCTTTAGCTTAAATAAACTCATTTTAAAGCAAATGTGTCACTAATATATCCTAATATTTAAAATAATAATGTATGGCAAATACAACGGGACACAAAATCTGAATAGAATTAATCTTTATAGTTGCAGTTCTTTTGCTCAAATAAACTCCTTTTAAAGCAAATAAAACATACACATATTTCTAATTGAGCCTGTCTACGCAAAAGTAAAGTACCAAATAAAAGAAAGACAAAGGTTTTACTGGTTTGTTGCTTTCTCCAGAGTGGCACAGCGACTGCAGGGTGTACGAGTCTTAGCGGCTTTTATCTCTCTCTATGCAGGAGAGGGGGAAAAGCAGCCTTCAGCCTGGGTTGTAGCAAAAATGGGCAAGGCAGGCTGTTCTATGTAATATGGAGACGGTTCAGCAAGAAAGGAAAGAGGCTTGTTTCAGGGGCTCATGTCAAATAACAGAGGTGGTTTCCTCTTGATTGGCATCTCAACCAGAGAGACAATTGAGGGAACTGTAGATGATCAATGCGGTCTCCAAGCTGACAAGCTTTTTCTTTAGAGGAATGATAAAAAGGAGAGGTCTATAGGCTTTGGCCAGCAACGTGCAGCACAACATGGCGGAGCTCATCAGAGTTGTTTATTTCTTGGAGCAGCTACCTTTGCAAAAGAGACCAGATGTTCAGTTTGACCACCTCTCATATGATGGTAAAGCTGAAAAGCTTGCTGGAAGCTATAGTATAAATTTAGTTCTGATTATGACAAGCTGTTTTCACATCTTTTAAGATGCTTAATTTTAGCAACAGAAATGTTCTGTCTTTTGGATTTAGATGATGAAACTTTGTAGTACGGTGATAGTTTTTTTTATAAAGTTATACAGGCTTATCCTTGCTGATGTTCAGGAAAGGTGTAGAGGTGGGTGCTTCTAGGGTTTTCTCAAGTGGTCATTTGGTAATAGATGGGGACATCCTGTATATCAGGAAATAATTACAGCTAATTACTTTGATGTGGCTGATCATCAAAGATTGGTCACACAAAGGCAAATGCATAGGCCTGATAAGGCACACAGGTAAAAGTGCATTGCAGTTGGTCTGGCGAGCCAGACAGATTGATACAGTCGCTTTTCTCTAACCTTAGCAGTCAAGATTGCAGCTGCAATGATCTAATGATATCCTGTGTTTTTGTCCTGAAAATGCAGTTTATACTGTAAACATTTCAGCAACTTGTTACTGTGAGAGCTTATCTTTTTAAGAAATATGTTTTTGAATCACATTGTTAACTGATAAATTCTAAACTGTCACTGCTTTAGTTCATCTCCTTAGGGCAGTCCCTGTCTATGTTCCTCATGGGGAGTGTTTTGGTTCCTAGGTGGAAAATTGCCATAGAAACTGTTACATTTTCCTTTTTTTTTTCTTTTTATATCAACTATTACTTGCTTTAGTTTTAATTCTAAATCTGTTTAAAGTTGTTGAATTCATGCTAACTGAAGATTTCTAACCATCTCAAGACATCAATATATTAAAATATAATACAACATAATAAAACAAGTTAATCAAATGAATAACAAAAAAAGAATTGCAAAGCTTTCAAAATTATACTAACAAGTTTCCACATCAGAGGCTTAGCATCTTGCTCTTAGTCAAGAAGCTAAAGAGGTTACTTGCCTGAGAAGCTTACTGAGGAATCTGGTCTGTCCTAGACATAGTTATTGGCTCAGCTGACTGTGATTAACTGTATGTGCTCTTTTTCATGCCTTTAGATATAAAAACAGGCTCAGCTCTGCTTAGTTGTTTCTTTTAAAGACAAAGCAACATGTTGAGCTAGTTTTCTGTTGCCATTTCTAACATACAAAGTATTATTGCATTAGTACTTTGATGTTTCCTTTGTGTGTCTGCATCTGTTTTCTTAAACCCCCAGTCTTCCTCTGCAGAAGTCCCATACCAGTGAGGATGGTTTTGCAGTAGGCTTCTCTCAGTTAAAAAGGAATTTTTCACCTTACACTGTCGCTGTATGCATGCTTGGTGTGCAGGATTGCCGTCGAGTTATTTTGGTGTTTGTCTGCCTGAACTCGACCAGGCTTGACACAGAGGACGCAGGAAACAACTCAGATCAACTTAGTCATTTCTTTTATTTGACTTTTGTCATTTTCTGTTGAATCATACGCAGGTTGATAACCTCAACAAAGAAAAGAAAAACAAACAGAAATTAGTTCCACCATGAACCATAGTCACACATTGCAAACATGTTTAGTTCTCCATATTAGACTTAGTATAATATGGATTAAATTAAACATTCTTTCTCTCATTTATTTTCTCTCATTTTCTCATCTAATTTCTTAAATTAAATTAAACATTCTGAAATACATACATACCAGTAGTGTCTCTGTGCTCCACTGACTCAAACCACACCCAGGGCAAACAAACAAAAGGCCCCTCAGGTGCTCAACCAAGGTTAATAACCCTAGAGCAGTGGTCTCCAACCCTGGTCCTCAAGATCTACTGTCCTACATTCATTTGATTCAACACAGCTGAATAAAATGAATGGCTTGAAAAGGTCATCAATCATTTGATTCAGCTGTGTTGAAGCAGGGATGCATCTAAAATCTGTAGGACAGTAGATCTTGAGGACCAGGGTTGGAGACCACTGCCCTAGAGCTTCTTGCTCTCAACTCTCTCTCTGAACACCATGTGAACACTTAGGCTCTCTACTGCCCTTTGACACACTCCATGTACAAAGTAGTCACATCCCAGAGTGAAAAATATTAAAAGAAAAACATGAAAAATAAACAGCATACAACACATAACCCAACACCTCCCACTTCAGCTCCTGGTTAATGAACCCAAGGAGGTCACACTATTCTCTCTTAATGTTGCTCCTCAATAGGAAGCAGAACCACCAGGCATCTGACACCCCTGTGAACGATGGTGGAGAGGATTCTGGATGAGAGTTTTTCTGTGTTTTTTCTTTGCTTGTGCAGTGTCCCTCCTTTACTCATTGGAACAGGGTAGCTTGGAAAAGTCCTCACATTCACATCCCTCACGACTCCTCTTTGGTCAGGATTTACAATGACAACTCTGCAAAGGTTGTATCGGCCTCTTAAAGCGTTTTGATCTGCCAGCCACACAACATCTTCCACCGTGACATTCCGTTGCTTTGTGTGCCATTTGCTTCCAATGAATAGGTTGGGACCAGCCAGCTCACACCACTTTCTCCAGAACCTGCTGACTACTTGCTGGATACTTTGGAGTCTTTTATACGAGTAGCCCTCAAATTGAAAATCTCCTGGATCTCCCTTTGGGCTGGCCCAACCAAATAAGAGGGAGTTTGGGCTGACATACTCCACATGGTCTTTACGACTTTGAACTCTGGCAGCTATGGGTTGTTCATTTACCAAATTTGCTGCCATGAAGAGAAATATTTAAAACACTCCCCATGTAAAGACTACATCACCACCAAGGTTATTTAAGGCTCTTTTGACTAACCAGACTGCTGTTTCTGCTCCGTTCCTGTGGGGGGAGTCGGCTGGGTGGATCTTCCACTACCATTCTGTTCCATTCCCTGTAGCTTCAACCTCAAGCTCAGCTTTGTTCAGTTTATATAGGAAACTTTGGAGCTCCTTCAGTGCAGGTTTGGCCCCCACAAAATTTGTCCCAGCATCAGACCACAGCTTCCTTGGGTGTCCTCTGAGGGATGTGAATATCTGATAAGCCAAAAGAAACCCTTCTGATGACTGGTCACTGACAACATCGGTGTGAACAGCTCTTGAAGCCATACAGCAGAATACGATGCCTCAGACTTTCAGTTTAGTCCTCTTCTTTATCTCGTCTCTGACCTCATATGGTCCAAACAAATCAACACTCGTAAATTCAAATGGATTTGAGAGGCTCACTCTTTCTGGTGGCAGTTCACTCATAACTTGCTAAAATTGCTTGGCTTTGAGCTTCCTGCAGATGACACAACTGTCAACCACTTTCTTTGCAAGTCTGCGACCTTTAAACACTCAGGCCTTCTTCCTCATCCTGAAAAATGTTCCTGCCACACCTTCATGATTTGCATTGTGGGCCTCTCTTGCTATCAACACAGATATCCACGCCTCATATGGTATTATGGGCACTGCAGATTTATGTTCAGTGAATATCTGCACCCTAC